GAGTGTCGTCTAATACTTTAAATTTATAATAAACATTACTTATTTAAAAATTATTACTTAATTTTAAACAATTTCATGTTATGTCATGACTATACTATACAAATTGTTAGTAAACACCCTGAATAAGATACACATCAAATAACCACAGTAAAATAAGTAAAATTAACTTAATTTGTACTGTTCATTCAGTAGTCGAATACGTATTATTACAACCAATTTCTTCTATAAATAGAGAAATGAACCAAATTTTGTTAAACAACTATTTCTAAAAACACTTCTCGTCCAAATGTCATACTGTAATCTTCATTGTTAATATTTTTCTGTCCATAGTCTTCCATTCGTGCCATTTTGTTGGCTGTCTGAATTATTTACACAATTGAGATCACAATTTCCCATATTCTATCTTCAATGCCTCCGGCAACAAGACATCAACACAAAAAATGAATCAATTCCGGGATAAATTAACATTGATAAAATAGAATGAACATACAATTCAGATATAAAACAGAATAAAGTTACATTATCAATTTAGTCATACAAAGAGACATACTTTACTACCCTTGAATACAAAGGAATAACAAACAAGAAATAATTGCCCTCAGACATCCAAGGAAGGATAAAAGCAGCACTAGCTCTCAAGCCTGACGAAGGCGAAAGCTCTTAGGCGGCCACTGCGAATGTATTGAGAAACAAGCCTTTGGATTTGTCATCATTGGGATGTAACTATTTATTAAAAATACCAAACCACTATTTTAAAACTTTAAATGACATAACACTTTCGTGATAAACCGAATGCGAATCCATATGCAAAGCGTCCATATACTATATAATTGCATAATACACAAACTGACAAACTCTCAGACATCCAAGGAAGGATCAAATCAGCACTAGCTCTCAAGCCCGGCGAAGGCGAAAGCTCTTGGGCGGCCACTGCGAATGTTTAGAGAAACAAAGCCTTTGGATTTATCATCATTGAGTTTCTTAGTAATATGCAACTTTCTATCATCAACATTTTAGTTTCGTCAAAATAAAAAAAAAATGAAAATTACGAAAACTGAGACATCCAAGGAAGGACAAAAGCAGCATAAGCACTCAGGCCCAGCGAAGGCGAAAGCTCTCAGGCGGCCACTGCGAATGTTTAGAGAAACAAGCCTTTCAATTTGTCATCGCCGAATAATAGAACTATCTAAAATATATTCACATAAAAATCCATCTAAAAACAGACAAAAAAAAAAAGAAATTGGTGGTCTCAGACATCCAAGGAAGGATGGAAGCAGCATTAGCTCTCAAGCCTGGCGAAGGCGAAAGCTCTTAGGCGGCCACTGCGAATGTTTAGAGAAACAAGCCTTCAAAGTTATCATCACAGACAACAAGTTATTCGCTTATAAACAGCACAAGGAATTTCAATCATCACAGATAATGCACATGGACTCAACTGCTTAATCAAATTAACAATCAACAAGTGACTATGCATAATGCATTAAATATTCCATCCTACAATGATCAGCAAAATACGAAAATACAGAGCTGACAAAGTGAATCGGATGGAAGCATTGAATGTTAGGGACTTGTTCATCCCTAAAGCACTCCGAGACACTGCTAAAGGGGCAGACGAAAAGTCCCAAATATTCAAATCAAAGAACTTCATTAGCACACAGAATTACATATTTTGGAGAGATCATCAGATAGGAGCGAAAGACTAAAATAAAGAATAATCACAGATAAATCATGTGAACTATGCTTCTGATCATCACATGAGTCTCCAATAAAGAATATTCATAGCCTCAGAAGGAAGGCAGTAGTGGTTCTGTAATCATGAAAGATCATAGAAAACATATTTACCATTGCTCTCATCACTGGCAAAAGAAGATTGAAATAATAGAAACAAAAGGGAAAAGAAAGAGAGAGTTGGCCTCATAGAGAAGATTAGTTTGATCCACATGAATGAATTCAGACATATGCTTGTCTATTATGAGTTTAATCATAGGCCGAAGCAAGAAAAGAAAGAGGGACTCAGAATATGGGTGGTGATATAGCAGGATGGTCGGCAAGGCGGGTAAGGCCAATTACGACGAACGAGACCTATCACAGAAATCGTCACTGTCCCCTTCCATATTCCAACAATCAACAAACACTAAGAAAGAAAAAACAAAGAAAGCAGAGAGTGAAGCGGCGCAAACAATATGAATATGGAGAATGGTGGAAAGAGAGTGCTTATAAAGAGGGGAATTCAGATCTAGGGTTTTCCTCACTCGTTCCATCGTATCTCTAGAATGTGCGGAGGATGCGCTCTTCCTTAACCTGCGCCGTCAAATCATAACAAAACCTATTTTTTATTTTTAATATAAAAATTAGTTTTTTTTTTCATGATTTACTCACTGATTTAAATTTAAGCAAATATATGAAATGTTTATTATATTTATAACTTATTTTTATGTTAATATCGATAATATATAATATATATGGATATAAAATTTTATCTAATATTAAAAATATAAAATATTGTAAATTATTAATTTTTATAATAATTATTTTTATTGTTATTTTAACATTATAATATTTATTTGAATTATTGTATTTGTATATGCAAAATATATGTATAATTTTATTATTTTTTAAATTCATAGTTGAGTTAATATTAATAATACATCATACGGTATAGTCATTAAATTTTATAAAAAAAATTATCTTTAATGCTATTGTTTTAATTTATAATAATTATTTATTATTTTGATTTTATTATCATTATTTATTATTTTTTATCATTTATAATAATAAAAACAGTTTAAAATGTTGAAAATATGTGCTATATTTATATTTATATAATAACCATTCAATTCTTATATATTAAATACAAATGGTTATTTTGAATGATAATTTTTTTATAAATTATTCTTTATGATAATATTTTTCTTTTTTTATCTTCATTTATAACTATCGTAATTGATATTCTTTCTTTTATCATTACTAAATTGAAAGTCTTTATCACATCTATAAAAAAAAAAAAAAAAAAAAGGACAATATTACAAAAAAAAAAAAATAAGTACTGAAAGAATTTAAAAAATAAATAAATATAGGAAAAAAAATATTTACTTCTAACTATGGAGACTAAAATAGATTGAGAAAAAAAATATAGAGAGAGAAACTAAAAATTTCAATTTTAAACTATAAATATTAAAATATAAAGTCAGTAAAAATTTAATTATATATAATTATTTATTTATTTATATATAATTTAGTTATATAAAATAAATATTTTGTTTGTGAAATGCATAAGGTAAAGGTTAATTATGAAATACAACAAAGGTTAAACATAATAAATATTATATATCAGCTTTAATTAAAAATATCGATGTGTTGTCACAAATTAGTCATTTATTAAATTTTAACTCATATAACCATTTCAACAAATAGCTCATTTAATAGGGACTTAAACATATATTAACTCTTCAATTTTTTAACTCCCTTGTGAGGTCCATAACATGATATAACATCTCTCGTGTCAAACATAGTTATATGATTTTCATGGTTGTTATTAGGAATATACAAAAATATCTTAATGATAATAAAATAGTTTTGATAAGAATCTTTTATTTGTGTTTTAAGTATTTAGATTTAATTTATTTTGTTTATTTTAAAATATATTTCCTTGTTTTTAGAATAAGATAATTTTAATATTTGATTCTTGTATTACAATTGTTTTCTATATATAGAGAGCACGTGAATAAAATTAGATCATATTTATGTTAACAAATATATATTTACAAAATGCAAATGCAAAATAATTTAACATGCAAATAACAAATATAACCTTAAACCCTAAAACCTGATTTCTTCAATCCTTTCTACAACTTCTCCTAATTCATACCATCAAGTTTATTATTGTACATCTTTAGAAAGTTTTGTTGTGTTAAGAGATTTTTAACCCTTCATTGCCATAATTTGAAATTATTAATTCCATTAAATTTCTCATGTTCAAATTTCATATTAAAGTTAAATACTATATAATATCAGCTATTAGCCATAACAATCAAATTGTAATATAGTGTTTTTTATTGGAGGGGAATAGAGGAGAAGGGAGGAATTTTTTAGTTTAATTTTTAAGAGGGGAAAGGAAGATAGTAAAATCCCTCATAACTCAATTTTAGTCCCTCTCTAATATTTAGAGGATTTGAAAGAGAGAAAAGACATTTTAAAACATTTTTAGTATAATATCCAAAATATTTTTATTAAAGTTATTAAATTTATAATTATAAGGAAAATAAAATTGGTTTTTAAAATCTTTTCCCTCCCTTTATAAACCAAACAAGAAAAAACTATCGTTTTCCTCCTCCCTTCCTTTCAACCAAATAAAATTTGTAATTCATCTTTTCCTCTCCCCTCTCCTCTTAAAATCCTCCCCCCCCC